GTAGGAATGAGGAACCAGTGTGAAAACACTCCAAGGCCAGATGCCTGACCCCTCCCCAAGTCAAGAGCAAAGTGAATAATCCAGGCCAAAAAATCTGGGAAGTCTGCGCTTGCCTCTTGAGATTATGGGCATTAATAAGCACCCTACCACTGATCTATTTGGTTCCCTTCCAACCAACTGACCCCTTAAAGAAAAGCAAATCTGAAAAAGAAATGGAAGATAGGCTCAGTAGAGAATATACCTTGCGGGCCACACCCCGTTTCCAACGACGCTCTTGAGCAAAGTCAGCAGAGAGCCACTGCATCTCCTCGCACAGATAGTCCCAGTGGCCTTTGGGGCGGGGAGGCTCAGGTACTTTAGGCAGCCTCTTCAGTGACCAGAAACCCTCCTTCCGCAGCTCAGCAATCCGAGTTTCAATCTCAGCCTCCTAATGAGGGAGGGCTAGGTCAATCAAGTTACTAGACATACACTCCACCTCATGACCACAGCTGAATTCCTGAGCACTGACTATGTATAGGCATTTACTGGACTGTTTTATGCTCAAGTCCACATACCAATCCTACAAGTAGATATTATACTCTCTTCAGGTGAGTAAAAAAAAAACAACAGGGAGAATAAGTGATTTACTTGAGACCACACAGCCAGCAAGTGTAAGAGCTGGGAATTAAAAATAGGTCTAATAACTCCAGACATCAGATTTCACGCTCTTTCCATTATTTCACACAATCTCCATGCCCCATGAATACAGACGAGGACTTGGGAAAACATCCCAAAGGAAGCTTCCCAGAGAGACAAGGAGTGCATGCTTCCTTACTGACTCTTGATATAAGGGATCTTCATCACTGGATAATTCTATTTACACAAGAGTATGTTCATGTTTAGAAACTGCAATAAAACCCAATTTACACAATCCTATTTTACATTTTTTTTAATTTTACATAATCCAATTTTATTGTATCTAGTTTTTTTTTTTTTTTTTGGTGAGGAAGATCGACCCTGAGCTAACATCTGTTGCCCATCTTCCTCTTTTTGCTGAGGAGAGTAGCCCTGGGCTAACATCTGTATCCATCTTCCTCCATTTTTTAGGTGGGACGCCACCACAGCCTGGCTTGATGAACGGCACATAGATCTGTGCCCGGGATCCAAACCTGCGAACCCCGGGCCCCGGGCCACTGAAGCGGAGCGTGCAAACTTAACCACTATGCCACCACGTGGCCCCAGAATCCTATCGGTTTTTAAAAACTACTATTTTTATAAAAATGTACTTTCCTATGGAAAATACTGAAAAATTACATACAAAAAGATTAACAATGGTTAGTATAATAAAACGATAACATTGTTTCTACACTGAATATATTTCATAAAGAAAAAAACGAAAGCATTTGAAATTTATTTAACACAGGTGACTTAAAAACTCAGGACAACTGCCCTCATTATGCTTGTCCTCTCCTGACAAAAACTAAATCAGAGGAAATAACAGCCAGAGGTGAGACAGGGAACTAAATGGCCTAATGGTGAAGGAAACATGAAGAAAGACACGGGTATTAGACCAATGGCTCTCAAATTTGAGTATGTCATCAGAATCATCTGGAGGGCTTTTTCAGACAGATTGCTGGGCCCTACCCCTACAGTTTTAAACTGGTAGCTGGAAGAAGTATACCAAGAATTCGCGTTTCTAACAAATTGCCAGGTGATGCTGATGCTGCTGGCCCAGGGCCCACACGTACCACTGGAAAAGTCTAACAGAGGCTATAGGACAGAAATGAGAAATAGAAACCAGTACATCTTAAGAACCTTACACTTTACAAAGCATTTTCATGTTTATTTTCTCCTTTAATTTAAACCTCTTAACAGCCTATAGACTATTAAACCATCCCTATTTTATAGAAAACAAAGTGAGGCTCAGAGTTCAAACGACTTGCTCAAGGTCATATAAGTTAAGGCAGAGCCTATACTCTAAATCCATGACAAGGAAAGAAACGTAAAATACCCATGGGACATAGGAGTTCAGGGAAGATTCCCAAGAATCTTCATGGGTCTTCCTAATACGTACATGCTTGGCCTGCTCTGCAATCTCAGCATGGCTCTTCTCCCACTTTGGGCCCTTGTTAGCCAGGTCAGCAGCCTGGGGTAAGGTAAGCCCCTCCAGGGGCACTGGGGCACCATCTGGGGGCCCTGGAGGTCCATCCAGAGAGGAATCTTGAGCTATATGCTGGGGGGAGATGCCACCTGCCCCACTAGAGGCTGGGGAACTGGATGAGGCAGGGGACACAGGATTGCTGCCTGTCATGCCGTCCGACACCACCTAGAAAAGGGGAAAATGATAGATAAAATGAATGCTTAGCACTGTACCAGGAGTTTTAAGTACATTATTTTGTTCTATCTTCACAAGAAAAAACTCTGGAGTCAGGTATCAATCTTATTATTAGAAACACAAACATTTGGGATAACGTTTTAATAAGGTGCTCAAGATGGCAGAGCCAAATTTATAGTAGATGCTTGGCATACAAAAGAAGTTATAGCCTGACATTTATGCAGTTCCCAAATTCAAGACTACTACTATAGCATATGATTTCAAATTTTAGTGATCCTTTCAGAACCTCAATGATTTCACTCACATAAACAACTCCCTATTTTTCCTTTCTTTTCATAACAAGTATGGCAGATTCACCTATGCAAATAAAAGTGAACTACCACTAAATTCAAAGGGCATCAAAAAAAACCAAGATCTTCTAAACCTCTTTATAATCATCACCAGTCTTGGTAGTTTCCTTTACTAGGCAGGTAGGCTGGGGGGGGTGGTGGTTACTGTTCTCAAACACCCATCTATTACTTTACAAGGCACTGCACAAGCAATAAGAAGTAGAGAACAAAATCCTACTTAAATGTGGATAGTGAGGGAACTCATGAAATTCACTCCAGCACACAAGCCTCAAAGCGTGCCACTCAAATTCCTACCTCAGTTAAATGACAAAAGACTTTATGTCACAGAATTTTTCAGCTGCTCAGGAAAATTATAAATATCTAATCCATAACCACCAAAAGCCTACCATATGCAAACGGAGGTCTGTTTGGTTTCAAAAGCCATGATTTTTTTTCCTACCCCCTGCATTTCCTTATGAGAGAAAAAAATGAACACTACACACCATCCATAATGCTTACCTTGTTCCACTTCTGAAAGAAACTGAGCTATTCTCAAAGCGCACAGTCTTAGAAGCATGTTGCCCCAAACTCCATTTCCAATCTGACCTAATTCAACCTTTCACAAGCAATGAGGAGTTTCCATACTCCTAGAGATCAACGTTACACTAACGTCAAGTAGAATGCGAGTATCCAACACGCTTGACAGCCCACCTCAACACCAAAGACTGTCCAAACTCAGCTACCCAGGTAGCCAGGATCATGCAAATATTGCTAAGATCTGCCCCATTTCTTCTGCCTCAGAGCCAGTAGCCCACAAAGCAGAAGCAGAAAAGGAACCATCTAAACTTTCAAACCTGTGTCTGCAGGATTGGGAGCTGAGGGTGAGCAGGGGAGGGGCTGCTCTGCATGGTCCCACTCCCAGGCTCCTCTTTGGATGCCTGAAGAATGACTGGGTTGTTGTCACCACTGCTGCTGGCCGAGGGGCTGGCGTCCGGCTGCAGGGCATGCTGGGAGCTGGCCTCATTCTGGGCCACCGGCCACCGGGACCCGCCTTCCAGGGCCCGGGGCCCACTAGGGCGTCCCAGCCTCCGCTCAGGTCCACCGGCCTCTGGAGCACCTAAAGTGGGGGTAAAAGAGTAGAAATCAGATTTTAAAAGATTCAGTAATCTTTTAACAAACGAGAAATAACATAAAGAATAAAGATAAATGAACACTGATTATAGCCTACATTTCTTGAGCATCTACTATGTGTCAAATAGTTAAGTACTTACTTGATGTGTTCTGTAATCCTCACATCTACCTCATGAACCCAGTACTTTTCATGCTATAATAAATGTTTATTTAGTTGCTTCTACATACTGAGGGTAGAACCATGCAGAAAAGATCCCCTAAATGGAGCTTACATTCTAATATTTTCTCTATTTTATAAGGGAGGAAATCAGGACATAAAGAGGCCAAATGATTTGCATAAGGTCACACAGTAAGGAAGTGGTAGAAGGAGGACTTAAACCTAGGTGGTCTGATGCCAAAACCATGGCAAGCGCACTAGTCTTCTTTGTAGAGTCAGGATGATCAGATCTTTCTCTATCCATAGGCCCAATTCTGTTGTTGCACCATTTTCAAACCAGAAGTATTGACCTATAATTTCTATCACTAATTATCTCCAACACCTCTCCCATTAGCACCAGTACACAAAATGGTATCTGAACTCTCACCTGTGTGAGCTGAGACCACACTCCCTGTGAAAGTCTGTACTTCCACGGTGCCGCCGTACTGAGGAGAATCACGCCTGAAACAAACAGAGGGGAATCACACCTGAAACAAACAGAAGGGGAGAAAGCAGCAGTGATGGATCAATCCATATTTACCAACATCCATCAAAGCCTTCTTTACACCAGATGTTGAAGCTTTTAAATATACCCAAATCGGTTCAAAGGCTGAAGAGAGTTACAGTAGTAGGAAAAGCTTACATTTCAGAAAAACGAAAGCAAAGCATGTTTTGTGAAAATACAATTCCCTAGGGACATAAGATTCTGGCTCAGGGAAGGAGCAGGGAAATGAAGAAAAAAAAAAAGTTTAAAAAACTTAAGTGTAAAAAGCTCCAACCACTGAGCGTAGGGCAAATAACAATGCAAAAAAAGCTGTCACATCCACAAGCTCAAAAGGTGCTGGCTGCCTGGCAGCCTGCTCCCCTTTCCAGGGAGGGCTGAACATAGCCACAGGAGAATCCAACCTTCCTCAGGTCAGGGTCCTGTGACTCCTACACCTGCACCATGAGACACTTCCCCAAACACAAGAACTACAGCAGGAGACTAGAGGTGTAGTCAGATGTAAGGAAGGCCACACAGCCAAGAACCATGCCCGGAAACAGGTAGGGTAAATCCACACAAGGCCCGGAAGTGTTTCCCCAGTTTAAGGAAATTCCTTAGCCACGGTGCTGCCTTTGATTCACTCCCTCCTCCACAACAGCTAACCAGAATCCAAGAAGCTTGAACTCTTGACCTCAGGCTTCATTACTGTCTCCCAACCCCTCCCAACAGACTGACCCAGCGTGACCCCTGACCTCTGCCCCTAGTTGCCACTAGCCCTAAGATAGGCCCGCCCCCTCCTAGACTCCCACCCCACCCAACGTGTGCGACACATTGGGGGAGGGGCCCGCGCGTGCGCGGCTGGAGGCGGAGTGAGCCGGCTGCGCGCACCGCCCGGGGGCTCCCGCCAGAACCCAAACCCACGCACACAAGGGTCGCAGGGCTGGGAAGCCTCTCATCCCTGCCTGTCAGGGAGCCCCCCACCACCAGACCGAGAAACGCTGAGATAAGGGAGGGTTCGTGGCTCCAAGTCCTGGCCCCTGACTGCATACGGTGGGCGCGCGCCCCGACTACTTGTCCCACGCCCCCCTTCCTCTTCCCGCGCGCCCCTCAGCGGGGGGGCTGGGGTTGGTGGGCGGGCAGGAGCGCACCTGGGTCTGTCCTCTCAGGGCTCGCTCGCTCGCTCAGGCACGCGTGCGCAGACGGGCGGGAAGGGAGAGGAGACGCGCCCGGGCCCAGTGCTGGCCGGCCTGGCCCCCCTCAGCCTGTCTCTATGGGCGCGCGCCGACAGCCTCGCGCACCGGCCCCGGGGCCCCGGCCGAAGGTGCGCGCGCAGCACCCCGGGAAAGTGGGAGGGGAGGCGGTGGCGGAAAGATGCGCGCGCAGTCACCCGTCAGGGGAGGGGTAACTGTGGAGCGTCCGCCATCTTGTCTCCGTCTCCTTACCTGCGTCCTCGGGGGCGTGCGCACCACCCCCCCTCCCACCGAGGAGGGGGGAGGGCCCCCTCTTTGCCGCCGCCTTCGCGGCCTTTAAATTCCCCTGGGGCCCGCGGGTACTGCCACGGCCTTGCTTCCACTGCCTCCTCTCACGGCACAGATATCCAGGCGGTGGGTGGGAAAAACGGGAGACGCTACTCCCAGCGAACCGCCGCCGCCGCTTCCGAGGCCTCACCAAAATGGCCGCCGCCGTCTCGGCCGCCACCACCAGCACCAGCACCACCACAGCTCACTATCGCTACCGCCGGCGCGGCCCGTCCTCTCGCGAGAGACAGTAACTGCAGGTTGGGGGAGCGGGGAAGCTCGCGTGCTAGCGTAGGGCGCTGCTCAAAGTGCAAGGCAGGCTGGGAGATGTAGTCCGCCTGGAGGCTCCGTGGCTGCCCCGCGGCAGAGCGTCTTTACCCTCCGGCACAGAAGCTGCTGCTGAGGCTGCGTTGCGGCTGCCGACTCGGACCAGCCACTCCTTTTCAATAGATCACCCAGAGAGCTGAAGCAATTTGTCAGGTACTTTCAGCAAGTTAGCATTGGAGCCTGGGCCCCTGGATTCTCACAGCAGTCCACTTATATAGAGCTGCTTCGTTTTACACAAGGTTGGTATTCCCAACAGTTCCCAAGCACCTATGCCATCTGTTGGCCAACCTTCCAGGTTAAGAATCGCCTTTGAGAGTCTGATACCCTCACCCCAGAATAGCATAATAATAACACCTTCTACTGAGGCCACTTTGTGCACTGGTTATTTCTTTTAAGCCACAAGAATACACACACTCTCACAAAATTTACCACCACAGCCCACCCCAAGAGCCAAGTTAGAAAGCCCTGGTAAAGCTCTCATCAGCTCCTCTTCATTCACTCAGTTTGTCTCTTCCCTGTTCTGCTCCAAGAGTTGATGATTCTCTCTGTGTGTCATTGATTTGAAGTCTTGTTTTTCTTACAGCAAAGACAAGGTGTTGAAAACTCAAAAACCTAAATGGGCCAGGAAGGTAATGTAAATAAAGCAAAAAGGGGCAGGTGAGGAGTGTGAGGAATAGGAGACCATATGCTCTGTCCAAAAGGAACAGCAACTGTTCAAACCACTATTTCAGTGGTCACCCTATAGGAATGTGGGCCAAAATACATCTAAGGGTCAGATTCAGCCCATAGGCTGCCAGTTTGCTACCTCTGGCCTCTGCTAGAGCCTCAAGGCACATAGAAGGTCCCAGGACACATTGACTGAATGTGGGTGGATGCCCATCCATTTAGGCCCAGTTCAGTTTTCTTTTTTTCAGGCCAAGCTTACGTATTTCTGAGACCCCCATTATAGAACCACACTGACCTCCCAAGAGATCTTACATCTCTTGGCCTTCCCATATACCTTTTCATCCTTTCTCAACTATTTTTCCTTCAAAATTCAGCTCATGGGCCACCAAAAAAAAAAAAAATCAAAAGAAGAAGAGTATTTTGTGATACATGAAAATTACATGTAATTCAAATATCAGTGTCCCTAACTAAATGTTTATTGGGACCCAACCATGTCCATTCATTTACATGGCATCTATGGCTGCTTTCCTGCTACAATAGCAGAGCTGAGTAGTTGCAACAGAGGCCCACAAAGCCTGAACTATTTTCTTTTTTTTTTGTGAGGAAGATCAGCCCTGAGCTACCATCCATGCTAATCCTTCTCTTTTTTTGCTGAGGAAGACCGGCTCTGAGCTAACATCTATTGCCAATCCTCCTCCTTTTTTTTTTCCCCAAAGCCCCAGTAGATAGTTGTGTGTCATAGATGCACATCCTTCTAGTTGGTGTATGTGGGACGCGGCCTCAGCATGGCCGGAGAAGCGGTGCGTCAGTGCACGCCCGAGATCCGAACCCGGGCTGCCAGTAGCAGAGCGCTCGCACTTAACCGCTAAGCCACAGGGCCGGCCCGTGAACTATTTTCTTTTTTTTTTTTAAAGAGGATTTTATTTTTTTTATTTATTTATTTTATTTATTTATTTATTTTTCCCCCCAAAGCCCCAGTAGATAGTTGTATGTCATAGCTGCACATCCTTCTAGTTGCTGTATGTGGGACGCGGCCTCAGCATGGCCGGAGAAGCAGTGCCGACGTGTGTGCCTGGGATCCGAACCCGGGCCGCCAGTAGCGGAGCGCGCGCACTTAACCGCTAAGCCACGGGGCCGGCCCCTCGTGAACTATTTTCTAACTGACACTTTACAAAAAAGTTTGCTGACCCCTGTTCTATATCTTGATCTGGATGAGGTCACCACCATGGGTATAAACAGATGTAAACATTCACTGAGCTGTGCACTGAGTTTGTACACTTTACATACCTCACAGCATGTATTTTTTTGTGTGTGAGGAAGATTGGCCCTGAGCTAACATCTGTTGCTTATCTTTCTCTTTTTGCCTGAGGAAGATTGTTGCTGAGCTAATATCTGTGCCAGTCTTCCTCTATTTTGTATGTGGGACACCGCCACTGCGTAGCTTGATGAGCGGTGTGTAGGTCCACGCCTGGGATTGAACCTGCGAACCCCCAGTCACCGAAGCAGAGCACGTGAACTTAACCACTACACCACCAGGCTGGCCCTCACAGCATGTATTTTATACTTAAATTTTAAAAATAAAATAACCCTACAGGATACGACCCCATCTACTTTTTTTTTTTTTTACCTCATTTACACGTTGCTCACTATACTATAGCCATCATGCCCTTCTCCAAACCATCCATCAAGTTCCTTTCTGCTTCCAGAGTCTTCATCTTTATTGTTCCCTCTGTCTGAAATTTTTTCTCATGGCTGACTCTCCCTTTTCATGAAAGTCTTATTTCAGACATTGCCTCCTCAGAGAAGTTCCCTGACATTAAAGAGCCCTTTCACTGCCGGTCACTCTCCAACACTTACCTGAAATTATTAATTTATTTGTATGGTTGTGTATTGTCTGCCCCCCTCCCTACTAAAAGATAAGCTCCCTGAGAGCAGGGACGTTGTCACAGGGTTCACAATGCTCTCTAGATAATTACAGAATGAATGAAAAACATTTCAAACAACGCTGTGAAGAAGAGATTGTTGATTCCATTTTATGAATGAAATTTTGGTTCAATAAAAAGTGAATGATGAAAACTTAAGATTTTCAAGATGCCAGTTCTTCCCAACTTGACCTATAGATTCAATGCAATCCCAATCAAAATCCCAGCAAGTTATTTTGTGGATATCAACAAACTTGAATCTAAAGTTTATATGCAGAAGTGAAAGACCCAGAATAGCCAACACAATATTGAACGAGAAGAACAAAGTTGGAAGATTGACACTACTTGACTTCAAGACTTAACTATAGGGGACCAGCCCCATGGCCTAGTGGCTAAAATTCAGTGTGTTCCACATTGGCAGCCCAGGTTCACGGGTTTGGATCCCAGGCGTGGACCTATACCACTTGTCAGCCATGCTGCGGTGGTGACCCACATATAAAATAGAGGAAAATTGGCACAGATGTTAGCTCAGGGCAAATCTTCCTCAGCAAAAAAAAAAAAAAAAAATGCAAAGGACTTAGAATAGCCAAACAATTCTGAAAGAGAACAATATTGGAGGACTTACACTACCTGATTAAAAAAAAGACTATAAAGCCACAGTAATTGAGACAGTGTGATATTGGTGAAATAGACAAATAGATCAATGGAGCAGAATAGAGAGCCCAGAAATAGACCGACATAAATGTAGTCAACTGATCTTTGACACAGGAGCAAAAACACTACAATGGAACAAAGATAGTCTTTTCAACAAATGGTGCTGGAACAACTGGACAACCACATGCAAAAAAATTAATCTAGACACAGCCCTTACACCCTTCACAAAAATTAATTCAAAGTGGATCACAGACCTCAACATAAAGCTCAAAACTATAAAACTCCTAGAAAATAACATAGGAGAAAACCTAGATGACCTTGGATATGATGATGATGACTTTTTAGGTACAACACCAAAGACACCATCCATGAAAGAAATAATTTACAAGCTGGATTTCTTTAAAATTAAAAACTTCTGCTCTGTGAAATGGTGTCAAGAGACTGAGAAGACAAACCAGACTGGGAGAAAATATTTGCAAGAGAGACATCTGATAAGGATTGTTACCTAAAATATACAAAGAACTCTAAAAACTCAACAGTAAGAAAACAACCCAAGGGGCCGGCCCCATGGCCTAGTGGCTAAGTTCAGCACGCTCTGCTTCGGCGGCCCAGGTTTGGTTCCTGGGTGCAGACCTACACCACTCTTCGGCAGCCATGCTGTGGTGGTGATCCACATACAAAAAAGAGGAAGATTGGCAACAGATGTTAGCTCAGGGCGACTCTTCCTTAGCAAAAAAAAAAAAAGAAAAGAAAAGAAAACAACTCAATTAGAAAATGGGCTGAAGACCTCAACAGACACCTCACCAAAGACACCAAAGAAGATATACAGATAGCAAATAAGCATATGAAAAGATGCTTCACATCATTTGCCATCAGGGAAAGGCAAATTAAAACAACAAACAGACACAATTATACATCTATTAGAATGACCAGAATCCAGAATATTGATGACACCAAATGCTGATGAGGTTGTGGAGCAACGGGAACTCTCATTCATTGCTGGTGGGAATGGAAGACGGTACAGCCACTTTGGAAGACAGTTTGGTGGTTTCTTACAAAAGTAAACATACTCTTACTTTACTCCCAAAGGAGTTGAAAACTTATGTTCACACCAAAACCTGCACATGGATGTTTATAGCAGTTTTATTCATAATTGCTGGAACTTGGAAGCAACCATGATGTCCTTCACCAGTAGGTGAATGGATAAATAAGCTGTGGTACATCCAGACAATGGAATATTATTCAGCACTAAAAAGAAGTGAGCTATCAAGCCATAAAAGACATAGAGGAACCTTAAATGTATATTACTAAGTGAAAGAAGCCAATCTGAAAAGGCTACATGCATACCAAGTGATTCCAACTCTATGACATTCTGGAAAAGGCAACACTATGGAGACAGTAAAAAGATCATTGGTTGCCCAGGGTTTGGCAGGGGAGGGAGATAAAACAGAAGGAGCACAGAGGATTTTTAGGGCAGAAAATACGCTGTATGATACTATAATGGTGGATACATGTCGTTATACATTTGTGCAAATCCATAAAAGGTACAACACCAAGAGTGAACTATAATGTAGACTATGGATTTTGGGTGATTATAGTGTGTCATTGTAGGTTCAACAATTGTAACAAATGTACCGCTCTCGTGGGGGATGTTGATAATGGGGGAGGTTGCATGTATAGGGGCAAGGAATATATAGGAAATCTCTGTACCTTCTCCCCTCAATGCTGTGAACCTAAAACTGCTCTGCAAAAGTAAAGTCTTAATAGGGCCTGCCCGGTGCAGTAGTGGTTAAGTTCGCACACTCCACTTCGGCGGCCTGGGGTTCACCAGTTTGGATCCTGGGCACAGACCTGGTCACCGCTCATCAAGCCATGCTGAGGCGGCATCCCACATAGAAGAGCTACCACTCTACAACTATGATACACAACTGTGTACGGGGGCTTTGGGGATGAAAAAAGAAAAAGAGCAAGATTGACAACAGATGTTGGGGCAGAGCCAATCTTCCTGAAAACAAAAAACAAAAACTATAGTCTCTTTGAAAAAAAATAAATATAAAGTCTTAATTAAAAAAAAGGGAATGATGCCTATCTTTTTAGGCCCTCCTCCCATCACCCTCAGAAGATTGGAGGCCAGACCAGAACCTGAATGGGTTGGACCTAGCCTGTGCTAGTAATTCTTTGCTATGTGACCTTGAGCAATTCACCTCACTTCTCTGAGCCTCACTTTCCTTATCCATAAAGTGGGGCTAGAGTTGCTGATGTAAAATTGCTTTGAAAGTTCTCAAGAGCCACCCAAATGCAGGGGTGTATTTTGGACCTGTATTTCAGAGTCCCAAACTCTTGATATTCAGGTCAAATTTAGCCTTCAGTTGTGCTTTACATAGTGTTTTAATGTTCTGAGTATTATTAATACTTTAGGCAGGAGGATGAAGGCTCGTACTTGCCATAGGCCCCTCCCTTCCTAATTCTTTTGCACTGGGCAGCTTCACACATTTGTCATATCAGTCTGGCTCCTGAAAGCAGTTGAATTTGTGACATCTTGTTCCTACACGAGTGGTAGTGGGTGCACTCTCCTGACCAGCGTTGCCTCTGCCCTCTGAGTGTCAGGCCCTGTGCTGGGTTAAGTGGGAGAGACAAGACGAAGGATGATAAATCTCTGACCTCAAGAATCTAATCTCAGGGCTGGCCCCGTGGCTTAGTGGTTGAGTGCGCGTGCTCCGCTGCTGGCGGCCTGGGTTTGGATCCCGGGCGCGCACCGACGCACTGCTCCGGCCATGCTGAGGCCAAGTCCCATATACAGCAACTAGAAGAATGTGCAACTGTGATATACAACTATCTACTGGGGTTTTGGGGGGGGAAATAAATAAATAAAGTTAAAAAAAAAAAGAATCTAATCTCACTGCTGAATGAGCTGTGAGTTTGGTAAAAGTCGGGGCAGAGTATTTTGATGCCATGGGAGAAAGTGGTCAAGGGTCAGGTCAGATCCAGTGGGGTATCGGGGAGGGCTTCCTATAAAGGTGTAGTTTGAGCCTGGCCTTGGGTAATTTAGGCATGAGGGGTAGGCACTTCCGGAAGATGACACAGCCTCAACAACACTGAGGGTTGGGGGACAGTGAATGGATCAGCTTATCTTCTTTATGACAGAGAAGATTGAGACAGTTAGACAGGTCACCTGGAGCCAGGTGACCAAAAGCCCAGCATGCCAGGCTAGGTAGTGGGGCATAGTTCGGAGGTGACAGGGAGCTATTGAAAAGTTGTTGAGCAGGGATTGGCATGGTCCAGGCTCCACTTTCCAAAGGATGATCTAACAGGATGTATCGGATGGCTGTAAAGACAGCTGTAAGGTGGAGATAGGCCAGAGCAATTACCCAGTTGTAATGTGGGCTACTGGCCAAGAGGTGGCAGTGGAGATAGAGGGAGAGACACTGTAGAGGAAGAATTAGCAGAACTTGGCAGACAGTTGACTGCTAGTGATACTGATCCTCCAAACATCCATTCTTGCCTTCTGTGAGGCTGGCCTTTCCCAGTCTCCTCTTCCCTCCTACCTCCCTGGCTGCTCCTTCTCAGTCTCCCCTACAGGCCACTTCTGCTGGACCTCTCCATCAATTGTAGGGGTTCCTCAGGATTCTTCCCTCAATTGTCTTCTCTTATCCAACACCTTCTCAAGGGCAGAGGCAGATATCCTGAGGCTTATGAAGCTTAAGCTTCATAACCTTCCTTTACGGGGACTTTTCATTGCTAGAAGTATCTGGGGGGGTAATGGAACAGTCTAGATGAGGTGGAAAAGCCAGGTTGCAACCAGAAAGCATTTGCATGTGAGCATTTCTGGTAATTTGCCTAAAGAGATCTCAGAAGAAAAAGGCATTAATTGCTAAGCCTCCAGTAATTTGTCATGGCTTCATTGTGCATTCCAGTCACCATCTCTTAAGCCAAGGACTCCCAAGGACTGTCCCTAGCTCGGAATGTGGCTTCCCATCTGTCTCACTCCTGGATTCTTCCTGCAGACATCCCAGGCACGTCGGACTCATACATCTAAAGCTGAGCTCATGATCTGAACAACAGAACCTGCTCTGAGGCGATGGCACCACCATCCACCCAGTTGCTCAAACTAGAAACATAAGCATCACCTTCCCTTTCCCTCACGCCCCACATCCAGCCACCAAGTCTTGTCCATTACATCTGAAATATTTCTCCATTCTCTCTATTTCTCTCCAGACCCACACCCAATCCTTAGCCCTTGATGACTTATAATCAGTGACAGTACCAAGAACTGGCTTGTTGGGACTGCTGGGACTTTAGTTCCCCCTCCCACCACCATTATCTCCAACTGCCTCCCCACCCCACTCCTTGATATGGACAATTGCTGTTTTCTCAGTCTTATGTGAAGTGATATGCAAATGAAGCTTCAAGCTGAGTCCAGTCCGCTAGCCTCCTGCTCTCTAACAGCTGGACAGCTGCTCCTAACCCTCCCAGCAAGTAAAAATTCCAGAGCTTGGGCCATCTGCACCAGGCTCTCAATGGTCTCCCTGCTGCCAGTCTCTTCTGCTCCCTGAAGTCCCAGCTCTTGCAGGGGTCCCATTCCAATGGGGGTAAACAAAGAACAAGCTTGAGAGAGTGTAATATAATGTCAGGGACTGATGAGGGCTCAGTGCTCTCATCAGAGATGGAGAGGGGCAGAGGAGATGCCATTTTAGACAAGGTGGTCTCTGGTGAGGTGGCAGTTGAACAGACCTCAGAAGGGTTCTCCACACAGCAGCCAGGGAAAACTTTTCTAACTGCAAAGCTGATGGAGTCACTCTACTTCAAGTCCTTTCATGGCTCCCATGAAACTCCTTTCTGAGGCCCCCAAAGCCTTGCATGGTGGGCCCCTGCCAAATTCTCTGGCTTCCTCTCTCCCAACCCTCCTCACTCCAGCCACACTGGTCTTCCCAGTGGTGTCTCTTTACAGGCTCTTTCTCCACTCTGGGCTTTCTCACACGTGGTTCTCTCTCTTCTTTCCACCCAGTCAAAACCTACAAGGTAGCATCACTGTCTCCAGAATTCTTCCCTGGCCCTCAGACTATGTTATATCTCCTGTAACGTTCTGTGCTTTTTTGCCTCTCAGCACTTTTACACTAGGAATAATTACTTGAGTTTCTGAAGGCTCATGGTAAGAGAGGGGTCACATCTGTCTTGTCCACTTCTGTGCATGTATCTAGACCCATTGTCTGGGGGAGTGCCAGGCACATACTAAGTATCAATAGATAGGGGTTGATTGGTGTCTGCCTGCTTGCATGATAGCAATAACCTATATGTGTTAAATTCACTACAAAATTATAATAATGACAAACACTGAGCACCAACCTGTGTTTTTACTTAATTCTTTTAAATTAATTCACTTAATTCTTACAATAACCCTATTAAGTAGATTGTCACCCCCTTTTAACATATGGTAAAAACATGATTAAGGAACTTGTCACAAGTGACACAGCTGGAAAGCAGCAGAGCAGGGACTTGAACCCAGAGAGACTGACTCATGTGTGTGCCCTTAACTGCTGGTCAGGACACCCTATCAAATCCAGGTCTACGAAGTGCCAGGCATTATTCTTGGCACCAGGGAGATAATATTGGAAAAACAAACAAGTAAAAACTCACAAAGTTCCAGCTTTTATCAAGCTTACATTCCTCGTGGGGGAAGACAAAGAACAAACATATAGAAAGTGAAAATATAAAATAATGATGGGTCATAGGTGCTATGAAAAAGTAAAGTGGGGTTGGGGAAAGGGAGTGAGGGGCCTGGGAGGTGCTATTTTAGACAAGGTGGTCTGGTAAGGCCTCTCTGGTGTGGTGACATTTGAGCAGAGAATGCTTTGGGGGAGAATGCTCTTCCCGAGCATTCTAAGCAAAGGTAAATAAGTACAAAGACTCTGAGGCTGGCTCAGCTTATCCTGACAGGAAACAACCAGGAGGCCCAGGAGGCTGCAGGGGACAGGGGAACAGTAGGAGATGAGGTCTGAGAGGAGCGTCAGGGCTGGATCCAGCAGGGCTATGAAGGCCAAGATAAGGAGTTTAGATGGAAATTCTAAGTGTGGCAGGAGGACGTTGAGCAGAGGACAGTGTTGAGAATGGACTGTAAGGGTGAGATTAGAAAGCGATTGCTGTAGTCTAGGTGAGAGGTGACAGAGACTGAAATTTTTAAGTAGAACGGGAACCTGGGTATAGGGTTGCCGGATTTAGCAAGGAACTCTTCCGGGGACCTCTGGGAGGGGCCTCGGGAAGGCAGGTGTAGAGTGACTGAGGTCCCAGGAGGCTAGGAGAGGGTGGGCAGCTGCTACAATCCCTCTCTCCTCTCTGGGAGGCCTGGGAACTTCTGAGAACACAGCCAAGTGCAGAGCCTTCATAGGTGGAATCCAGTACCTCTCAAGCAAACACACCAATCAAAAACATCCTCAAGCCTAAAAGGAGGAAACTAAAATCATGACACCCAGTTCTAGGAAGGGTGTGGGGAGACGGTCACTCACATGCTGCTGGGTGGAGTATAAATGTGCACAATCTTTGTGATTTGGATTTTTAAAAGACTGTTTCTTTAAAAAAAAAAGTTTTAAATTAGAAAAATATGCTTTGCCCCAGGAATTCCACTTTTGGAAATTTATTCTAGGGAATGAATCAGAAAAATGAGCAAATATGCATGTACAAAGATATTCATTACAGCATTTTAAAACATGTATTTATGTTTATAAAAGCAAAAAGATTTGGACATGATATAAAGGTTCAACAAAAGAAAAATAGATAATGATATGAAGAAGTAGTTGGGAGACAAGGAAACTCAAATGGCCAATAAACATATTGAAAAGATGGTCACCCTCATGAATAATTGGGGAAATATACAAGCGATGACACAACCGTTTCACAGAGCAAAGAGGACGTTGCCTGTATGTGTGAAGTTGTGTTTTATTTAACAATTCTGCACCCCTATGATGCACCTTAGTGCCCAGATTATGGTCTCTAAAAGGAACTAGGGCTGGTTTTGGAAAAGGCCAAGTGTGTGGGTGGGGGATAGAAGGTACAAGGTGAGCCTGGAACATCTTGTTGAGCCAGGAAGCAAGGAATTTTCAAAGATTAATGAAGTCTTGTTGGAAAGACACAGGAACCTTTGCAAAGGGGCTCCCACTGGCCAACACTAAGACCACTGAAACCTCAAAAGGAGAGTATTGGGCTGAGGTCAATACTGGGTTTGGCCCATTAAAGTATTCACAAAAGAGTGAACATAAAGTACTGTATTCTAAGAAAGGTGAATAGAATAAAATACATCCTATTTTTTGCCTTGTTAGTAAAAGAAAAAAAGAAGCAAAAAAAAAAAACAGAATGTGTGTTGGTTAATTCTAGGAGAGTGGTACACAGGTGTTTATTATACTTTTCTATTTTTATCAACTTGAAAACAATTTAGAAATGTTTGTAGGGTAGAGGTAATGCAAATGTTTCCTTTATACTCTTTTAAAAGTACATATATTTTATACATTCTTCTATGTGTGTTATATTTTACAATTAAAAAGGTTTTTTTTTAATTGCAACAGCAAGAGATTGCTTGATTAAATTACAGTATATCTGTTATAATGACATAATGTGCAATCATTAGAATGATGTACTGACATGGAACATATTGGAAACAGCAGGGTACAGAGTAGTATATATACATATATATTTTTGGTAAGGAAGATCAGCCCTGAGCTAACATCCATGCTAATCCTCCTCTTTTTTTTGCTGAGGAAGACTGGCCCTGGGCTAACATCTGTGCCCATCTTCCTCCACTTTATATGGGACGCCGCCCCAGCATGGCTTGACAAGCGCGTCCGTACACACCCGGGATCCGAACCTGGGCCGCCAGCAGCAGAGTGCGCGCACTTAACCACTATGCCACGGGGCCGGCCCCCAGAGTAGTATATTTTGTATGACTCCAATTTATAAATTGAGGGGATGAATATGTTTGTATAGGCACAGATGGAAATATGAAAGAGTGTTCACCAGTATGTTCGCTGGGGTTATCTCTGGGTGAGTGGTAGGATTTGGGATAATTTTAACTTTTTGTATGCTTGTCTGAATTTTTAAAAATTTTAATCACATGCCTGTATCATTATTATAAAAGCAACATACTACAAAAATCCAAACCACCTCAGTCCAATCTCCCGTAACTAACTACTCGGTATAGAGTTTAGTGACTATCCTCATATAGTGTCTTTTCAGACGTTTACACACACGCACATTTTCTTGTTTTGACAAAAATGAGATGATACTGCACATATTGTTCTACAAGTTGCATATCTCATTTAGCAACACAGTTATAGAGATATTTTCTTTGTAAATCACACTTGTATAATCGGAAAAAAGTACAATTTTTTCTGGTTTTGGAAACAAATGATGTTATAGATGTATATTACTGACATGATAAAATGTGAAAAAAAAACTACCATGTATAATAAGATTCCATTTTGTAACAATAAATATATCTAAAGAAGCAGACAAAAAGTTTAGAATATACCCCAAACTGTTAAATGTGACCATCTTGTTGAGGATGAGAAGGCAAAAACTGTGATATTTTCTTCATGTTCTTCTATATTTTCTTTAAAGACTTTATTTTGCAGAGAGCATATATTGCTTCTTTTTAATTTATGAACTTTTCTCCCCAGCTTTATTGAGATACAATTGACATATAACATTGTGTTTTGAACTTTTAAAATAGACTTTTTTATTATAGAAGTAATGTTTGTTCTTTGTAAAAAATAAAATCCAGTATTACGAAGTGTAAACCAAAAAGTATGTTGTTCCCTGCACCTTCCCAATCCACTCCCGAGAAGCACCCAGTGTTAACAGCTGCTTGCATTTGCTCAGAAATTTTCCATGAATATGTGTGTCTTATATGCCTATGAATGATATCACACTGTATATATGTTGTTCTCCATCTTGCCTTTTCACACTTAATATATGTGTAACATCTTTCCAGGTCCACATCTATAGATTTATCTCCTACTTTTAAGCAGCTGCAGAATAGGCAATTGTGTG